GTAAACGTTCCAGAAACGTTGAAAATAGTTCGTTTGACTGGACGTGAACAGGAGACGTTCAGAAATAGAATCGGGACCAGGAAGTGTTAATATAAAGCGGCATGCAAGATTTACAGGCGGTTTTTTGCACTTTTGCAGGAAATCGAACATATTTTTATGCTCATGTAAAAATTCTCTGGAAACGTCTGGAAACGGGAGACCTAATTCTTGCATTTTGTGAAAATGGGTAAGATTGGCTATAATGTAATTATCTTAATCTTCACTATCGTTACTTTTTGCCCACAAATAAAAACCCAGCGAAGCGGGTCCTTGCAGCTAGTAATAAAATAAAATTATTTTTTGTGTCCTAACATTAATTCCAAAAATATCACAGAATTAGATGAAGAAGAAGTAGTATATATGTTACCGCTAAAGCTCGAAAGTCGTTAATGTGTACGTTACCTAGCTAATATGCAGATTAACTAAGGTGATCCATTAAAGTTGTAAAAATTGTTCCATTTCTCAAATTACCTAGATAATGTGCGGAGTATCTAGGTAATCCACACATTACCTACTAGACACTCGGTAAAGTGAAAATAAGATCTTTGCCACAAATAAATATACCACAAATAGGTGTGCTTGTCGCAAAAACCAATTGCTATGAAATTCAGTGTCACCAATCTTTAGACTGCACTAATAAGTAAGCACAATTGGTTAATGTTATCTATGGTGAGTAAAATGGCGGCTTGTCTCTGATTCCAGCAAAGAGAAGAAAGGAAACAGTGGGGATGCACATTCAAACCTAACCTAACCTATTCTAATAATTTGGTTGGTAATAATTATGGTAATTTATTAGAATAGGTTAGGTTAGTTTAGAACGCGCGTCCCCACTGTTTCCTTTCTTCTCTTTGCTGGAATCAGAGACGAGCCGCCATTTTACTCACCATAGGTAACATTAACTGCACAATTATATCATGCAATCACCAGAAAAAGTATGGTAACTTTATTATTTTTCGTCTCTGGTCCAAAAGTAGGGTATCGTTGAAGTCATCTCGGTTCCCTCAGTTCAGATAGATATTCAAAGTCCCAAAATTCCATAGGTGGTTATCTATACCAGTGTTTTTCAACTTGTGGGTCGTGACCTTCAGGGGGGGTCGCAAAGCCTTACATGGGGGTCATGGGTAAAAGAAAAAGACAAGTGTTTATAAGTCCTACACTACAATAAATAAAACTACAATTTCAGTGAGAAGGCTTTGCGTTTTTATTTTAAAGTACAATTGGTTTTTCGATCGATATTTAGGTCTCAACAGAAAAAAAAATTAAATATGTAGTTTTTAAAATCACTGAGATAGTTTTAATATGACCCTGGGGGGTTGCCAGAATTTTTTTAACTTGTAAAGGGGTCGCGTATTCAAGGTTGAAAAACACTGATCTATATAATAATTTCCCTAATCAAACGGTTTTTTTAAACCGTTTGATTGTATTAACTTGATTCTTTAAATATCGAAAATTAAATAAAGAACATTATGTTAATTTAAGTGTACAGAAACGTTGCTGTTGTTCCAGCAAAGATCTTATTTTCACTTTACCAAGTGCCCAGAAGGTTTGCAAATTACCTAGATAATCTGCACTTTACCTAGGTAAAAATAGTAGGACACCTCCTCTAAGCAATACGTATTTGGCGCTTCTTGGCGATTATCCGATGCGCATGCGTGACAAGTCCGCCTTCTCAGTTATAACGAGTGGTTAAAGCGTGCTGTGTATCAACTCTTGCCAGGCCATCGACAAAAGCATCTCCTGTTTAAAATTTATGCACGTGGTTTCGATAGAGAATTTAAAGATGTGCATCGCCTTTAACCATTTGAGATGATCATTGGGAGGCGCACCGAAGAGGAGATTGGTTGATGGCCTGGCAAGAGTTGATACACAGCACGCTTTAACCGCTCGTTATAACTGAGAAGGCAGACTTGTCACGCATGCGCATCGGATAATCGCCAAGAAGCGCCAAATACGTATTGCTTACAGGAGGTGTCCTACTATTTTTAACATCTTAACGAATGGGAAGGATCCTCCTAACCCCAGCAGAAGACCGGGAGTCTATAGTTTACCTAGGTAATTTGAGAAATAGAACAATTTTAGCAACTTTAATGCATCACCCTAGTTAATCTGCAGATTAGCTAGGTAATGTACTGTACACATTAACGACTTTCGAGCTTTAGCAGTAACATATAGATTGGAATGTACAGTACATGTGAAAATCCTACTTGTGACATTGATGTAACAGGTTGGGTATTAAAAGAATTAAAGAACAAAGTGGCAATCAAGCTGAGATACAATCAATCACTGTGGTATGAACATTGAATGATTAACAATTGCAAAATCAATAGAAATAAGGTTAAAATATCCCTGTAAAATTTCAGAAATTTTCAACAAAAACCACAGGAGTTATTAAGTTTAAAAAGAGTGAACAAAATTGTGCCTCCCACACACTAACATCCATACACACAGAAAAAACCCCAGAATTTTTTGCATTTCTTGATGTTTCAAGGTGTCCTGAGTCCAAAAATGTAAAAATCTTGGGGGGGTCATTTTTGACTGATCACCATACTTTCGCTCCATTATATACAGTAGTGGCCAAAAGTAGAGCTACCCTTGACATATCTTTTTAAAATGCAACCTCTATTTTGTTTATCATCTACTACATAATTAATATTATAATACTGTAA